AACTTGGTGCTGGGTATGACTGACTGACGACGGCTACTAAGCCAGAAATGGCCATATCTAGTCTTGCTTTTTTCGGCAATACTATCTAACATGAACTTTCTCTGCGTAGGGACAGTCCTTGAAGAAACCGCTGCCGGCTGGCTGCTGGAATGCCTCTGACTTAGCCATAGACACGCTAACGCAGTGCGTCGACCAATACTTTGTCCTTTCCCGGTCGGGCGCTTGCTGACAACTTGGACTAGTGGCCAGGGGCCAGCCCTAAACCTGGTCGAGCACTAACTTCAGATTTAAAAAAATACTTCTGATAATTCAGTCTGTTTAGAAAATTGTTCTTTGTGGACGATGGCTCCTCAGCAGACTAATATGACAACACTCGGAACCTCAACTAATTGCTTTCATTGCGTCAGTGCGACACCGTATGCATGCCTAGCAGCTGTCCATCACTTCAAACTAGGCTCTATGGCGGTAATTGATGAGCTGATTAGACGCACAAACTTGGCGAAACATTCCGAATTTGCAACAGAACAGAGTGCATTCGTCATCCTGTCTGGTGCAGTTGCAGACCAAGCAACTAAATCGGACAAACTGGTAGACTTCTCAAGGCGCGAATTGGCTAACACGCGGCAGCAGCGCGGAGAAGTTATGCCAGTTCTCAAGTTGCGGCTAATTAGTCGAGACCTGGCTACACATTGAAATTTAATGAGGCCGAAATTCTCACGAGAGGTGAAAATCGTGAGTCGCGGGTTACTTGAGACATGGTTCACGGGCCACCAGTCTATAAACAAGTGCAACGACCTGCAAAATCTCTATTTGGTGCTGAGGCTCAATTTGGCCAAAGCAAGTCGCCACTTGGGGTGCGGACAGGCCGACGCGTCATCTAACGCCAACGCCGATGATCCATATATCCGACCAATCATCACTTCCACTTCCACCATATGTAATGATAATACAACAAATCACAGCCTGCACGCCGGTCATCAAACGATTAGCGCATAAGCGGGCAATTATCATCCATAGGGGGCGTCGTTACTTGTCATAAGTGTGCAGTATCATAGTGACGGTATCCTATAAATACTGTAATTCCCTGTGCATGAATGGTCCGTTTCTGCTATTGTTTATGCTAATGCCTCTGATGAAGAATCCGCGACGAGCTTCGAAACGTCAGGCAAATAAAAGTCTTGTCCCAGCGATCGCATCATCTTCTTCTTAATTTCAAAATTGTTCAACCGAAGATAATGGGATATTTTACCTTTCCTGGAATTATTCGCCAGGCCACCTGTATTGCTTAGGTGGGACGTTGCTATTCCCATGTGCTTTTTAAGGGGCCTTATAAGAAATCATTATCAAGAAAAGTTATGTCCTGCTTGACAGATTGCCTCTGATC